GCTATGCAGCTTATAGGAAAGTCTGCAAAAGAAATGAATGAAGGATTAGTTGAGGTATAATAGTAAACTTAATTTAATTTTCAATTATAATATTTTCTAACTTATGAAATTTGGTGTAGACTTCAATTGTAGATGCTGACTGTTCTTATCCAAGTGAACTGGACGATATTCTTTATAAAAAATTCATGTTTAAGGTTATTGTTAAGCAAGAGAATATTGAGTCACAGGTCGAAGTCTACAATGTTCTTAAGATTACTGATGAGATGATCTTCTAAAGGAATATGGCCACAGTTTATTCGAAGACACTATCACTGTAAATATTTTACTCACAAACCTCCTAATACAAAATTTATATATAAATACTTTTATACTCATAAGATGAATGCTTTTTTTCCTTTCTGTTTAACAAGATCCAGAATTATTTGATGAACAAAGCTCAAGTGAAGAGAGGCCTTTTGGGGTAAATTTCATAAAATTAAAACTTTTAATTTTCGCTTCTACAATTTATGGGCTGAATGTTATGTGTATTATTACTTAGCTTATGGTTGCTGTCATTTCATATGGTCTAAACAAGAAAGCTTCTTAGTCCTTTTCTCACTGCCTGTTTTATGAGGGATAAGTCTATCCCTACATGACTTGAATGTATTAATATGTTTCCTTTCCATCTACTGTATTTTTCAAATAGTATTTTCTTTTCAAATGTTATATTTTATATTTTTCGCGCAATGCACGGATACAGATACTAATTTTATTAGTTAACTGAATATTTTTGATTTTTTAACCAAATAATAAACATTAATTTCGAAAAGTAGATATCTCCTCTATTTGGAGCATTCTTCAAGAAGAAGAAAATTTGTGGGAATGACCACTATTTATGTAAGAAACAGAGAAGAGTGGGCACAAATTCAATTATAGAAGAATAAAAAAGTGATATGACAATTTATGTAACCAAATGTTTTTTTAAGGCAACTTGGTAAAAAAACTAGGGCTGCTCTGGCAACTAGGCGATTTTGAGCACAGAATCGCGCAACCCTTGCGAGACCTTCTATGTCCACTCTGGTCGACAACCTGCCTTCTTCAATGCCTCGTCAGCCACCCCATGTGTCTTCTACAAATCATAATACTACTACATAATCAAAAACTCCAATGGATTATGCAAAACTTCTCAAACCTAGCATACTTAATGCTCCCATCCATGTCAATGAAATTGCACAGATTACTATCGAGCCAATTTCTATGCATATAGTCTCCTTTTTGAATGGGCAACCTTTGAATAAATTTACTGAAGCAGAAGTGGATCGTATGAATGTTATAGAGGGTCTTCAATTAGTTGTGGTTGGAAAGTTTGTGTATGAATGACCTGATACTTCAGAGATACGTAGAATTGTTCCTCTCCAATGTGGAATCAAGGGGGAGTGTAGCATTGGTATCCTTAGAGACAGACACATTCTTATTCGACTTACATTATGGCAGGACTTTATTGATTTTACATCAAAAGGTGTTTATTATGTTAAGGACAAACTGGACATGAATATCAATTAAGACCTCTTAATTATGATCCTAAATTCAATACTGGGGAAGAGACTCCAATGGCAATGGCATGGATCTCGTTTCCAGGTCTGATACCCACTTTTTTTGTGAAAGAATCTCTATTTTCACTTGCCTCAGCAGTGGGGAAACCTTTACAATTAGACTTCGATACAATCAACAAGACAAGACCAAGTTGTGCAAGGATTAAAGTCTTGGTTGATTTGTTAGCTGATCACCCAAAAGAGGTGAGGATGGATATTGCGAATGAATCGACAGGAGATAATATCAAGTATGACATGATGCCTAAATATTGCAAGGGACGTAAGTTAGAAGGTCATGATGATTTTGAGTGTTGGCGTCAACATCCAGAATTACTGATGCAAGATAATGGGAATTAGGTTGTAGCTGATAATGGTACTAACAAGGAACAATTAAAGGAGTCGTTAATGATACTATCAAATGGGAAGGTTGTGGGGAATGTAGGAGAACAATAGAGGGAAGTGAAGGAAAATCATGTGAAGAGTAATGGAAAACAAGGGGAAGTCCGAACTGTTATTGGAAAGGAAATTATTCCTATTGGTAAGACCAAAAAGGGCGAGACGAGAGATTCTAAAGATAAACAAAAGGAACACTTATACTTCATGGAAGACCATAAATAGTGATTTCGTCACTATTCATCGGCCATAAATCCTTCAACCGGTAAGGTTTCATCACAATTTTAATCCCAAAAGAACACCCTTCCAATTGTGAACAACCTCCCTTTGTTTTTTTCTCATTTTCTATATCAAAACGAAGTAGATCTTAAAATTAAGTTTGGATTTACTGTAGCATCGAAGATTTTCCAGTTTTTTCTGTTCTTTATAAGTTTTCTGTTCAAGTCAAAATTTCTGATCATTGGAGACCTGATCCCAGTTGGTTTCTTCTATAATCTCGTAACAATTTGAGGCAGATCTTGATTTTCTTTTCGAAAATCACTGTAGCAGGCAGATTCCCAGAATTTTGGACGCTGTCTGTTCATATGTAGTTATTACAAGTTACAGGAATAGTGAAAGTGTTGTCATGGCCAATGTGGCCGGCGGCCAGCCATCTCTGGCTGGTCAGCCACCCTCCACCAGTGCCCAACCTCCAATGACATTAACCCAGCCTTTAGAATACTCAAAAATCCTGAAACCTTCCACTTTGAACAATGTAATTGATGAAAAAGCTACAGCAGTTGAACCAATTCTTTTTCGTCAAGCAACTTTGATAAATGGAATGCATATAGTCAAATTCACAGAAGTTGTGGTGGAAAGAATGAATGTGATCGAAGGTCTACAGTATGCTATCATTGGAAAGCTATCCTATGGATGGCCAGATTTGCAACAATTGCGTAGTATGATTCCTGCACAGTGTGGGATCAAAGGAGAATGCACTATTGGATACCTTAGGGACAAGCAAGTTTTAATTTGTCTGACATTATGGGAAGACTACCTGAATTTCACATCGAAGGTTGCATACTATATTAAGGATAGAGATGACTATGAATACCAGTTGAGGCCATTAATCTACGATACAAGGTTTAAAGCTGGAGAGGAGACTCCAAAAGCTATGGCATGGATATCATTTCCAGGCTTACTACCTACGTATATTGTAAAAGAATGTTTGTTTTCCTTAGCTTCAGTTGTTGGGAAACCATTACAACTTGATATGGCTACCATCAATAAGACGAGGCCTAGTTGTGCTAAGGTTAAGGTCTTAGTTGATTTACAATCTGAACTACCGAAGAAAGTAAGGATGGATATCGACAATGATGTGACTCGGGAATCACGGACAGAATGGATACCTATCAAATATGAAATGATGCCTAAATACTGCAAAGAATATAAGTTACAAGGCCATGACATGATGGAATGCTGGAGATTACATCCTCAACTTTTTGAGGACAAAACCAAAGCCAAACAACATGCAGTTAACAATGAGCAACAAAAGGTCAACAATCAACCTGTAATGATTCTGTCGAGTGGAAAAGTTGTAGGCAATGTGGCTAATACGACTTTAATTGGTAAGGAACAATGGAAAGAAGTAAGGGACCATCGAGTAAAGACTGCTGCAAATCAGAAGGAACTACAAAATATTACTGGAAAAGAGATAGTGCCATCTGGAAGGGAAATTGTGTCTGTTGCTACTACATAACAAGTCCAAACAACCAACATATTTGCTGTGTTAGAGGTGGATGATAGTGAGAGTAATAAAGACAATCAACCCATACTTGTGGAAGAGACCTCAGTTCGAATAATAAACAACCAAGGTGCCAATAAACCTGGGCCTTTGAATGCAGCTGCAGCAGCCTTTAAACCTGCAAATATAGGGAGTGCATCATCAAATATGGTCAACAAAACATCTACATCTTTGAAGGGTAATGTAGTAGCAGTAAAGGGAGCACATGGTGAATCAAACAAAGATATATCTACACTACAAGCAAGAGGAATAACTGAAGTACCTAATGAAGATGGCAACCAAAGGCAGAAGGTGAATGAACCCACCAACTAATGGGTCAACAAAGCATTTACCAATATTGTTACTTCCAATCAATCATGTCAAGAGATACCATCACAATCTATCGACACAGCTGCTATTGAAGAATAGGAAGACTTCCAAGACAGGATTAATTTTATAGGAGGAAAATTATGGTACAATCAATCTGAGGAACAAATAGATGAGGAAGTAGAGAAACAGTTTGTCGTCAATGGTAACAATGGGAAGCTGATGATACAACAAGAAACTGATACTTCAAAATCAATAGAAGATCTACCCAGGGACGATTTAATTGAAGCTGGGACATCTGTCCCTATGGATACAGGAGATACAGGTGCAGAAAATCAAGTAGCGATCGACGCACAATTGATCGAGTAATTTGAAATTGATAAAGAAGGTGATCCTATTGATCCAGGAGATACAGGTGCAGAAAATCAAGTAGCTATGGATGCCCAATTGATCAATCATCTGGAAATTGATAAAGTAGGTGATCCTAAATCTCCTACACAAGTCCAGGCTATTCCAGTTACAATACCAAAAACCAAGGAGTTAGATGGTCAAGTTGAAAAGGAGAAGGCAGGCAGGAACTTAATTCCAAATAGTTCTAACAAGCAGTTGACAGCTCGAGAAATTCACAATGAAGATGAAAGTGATCAGCGGGGGAAAGGAAAAGACATGGATGTAGAGTCGACAACACAGAATTTTATTCATGTTGCTAGGCAAGGAGATATTTCACCAAGAATAATGGAGAAAGTAAAATCAGCAGGAAGAGGGAGAAGAAAACAGGCTAAGGAACCAAATACACAAGCACCTGGAGTGCAAACAAGGAGGACAATTTCCAAATCCACTATTTAATGATGAATGCTATGATTTGGAATATCCGGTTTAAGACACAAAGAGCTTTTGAAAGGTTAATACTAATGCATAGGGAGCACAAATTCCAGTTCATAGGCTCGATGGAACCAAAGCAACAAAGGAAAAAGCTAGAGAAATATCGTAGGAAAATTGACTTTCCACTAGCTATTTCAAATGTGTCAAACAAAATTTGGGCATTCTTTAGTGAAAGATTTGAAGTAACAGTGGTCATGGACATGGTACAACAGCTGACTTTAAAGGTGTTTGATATTGAAGATCAGCAAGAATTCTACCTTACCATGGTGTATGCTAAATGTGACGCTATTGAAAGGACTGAACTTTGGGATTCTTTGTATGCTTTAGGAAGTGACATGAATCTTCCATGGATCGTAGGGGGAGATTTTAATGTGATATGGGATAAAGAAGAGAAGTTCGGGGGATTGCCAGTCCACATCAACGAGGTCGATGACTTTCGACACTGTATTGACACTAGCAATCTTTTTTATCTTGGTTTCAAAGGGAGTATTTATACATGGTGGAACGGAAGGGCTGAAGAAAACTGTATCTTTAAGCGATTGGATAGGTGTTTGGCTAATCTCGAATTCCAGAATTTATGGCCTGGAATAGAGGTGGAGCATTTGACAAAAATTGGGTCAGACCATAGCCCTTTGCTAATTAAACTAAGTCCAGAAGTGGCACCAATTAAGAAATCCTTTAGATTCTTAAATTTCTGGTTAAAACATGAGTCCTTTCACGAAGTTGTTAGACAGAACTGGCAGGCAGATTGTTTCGCTAATCCATTCACCATGTTCAACCATAAACTGAAGAAACTGAAGAAAGTTCTCTCAATATGGAGTAAGGCTACCTATGGTGATATTTTTCAAAAGCTTTCGAGCTTAGAAGAGGTCGTGAAAGTTCATGAGGCTCAGTTTGTCCTAAGGCCGACATTACAGAATAGAGAGAGGCTGCAAAGAGTGCAGGCTGACCTTTTTAAGGTCATGGCATTGGAGGAGGAATATTGGAAGCAGAAATCAGGCATGGCATGGTTTCAAAATGGAGACAGAAACACGAAGTTTATCCATGCTCAAGTTCGAGGAAGAAGAAAATGTTTGCAACTGAAGAGGATCCAAGCTAGTAATGGTATGTGGCTCGAAGAACAGGAAACAATAGCTGAAGAGGCAGTGAGGGTTTTTACAGCTCAGTTTCATGAGGATGCTATGACCAACAATTTTGATATCATCGATCACATCCCTCAGTTAATAACTCCAGAGCAGAACCTTGATTTAATAAGACAACCAACATGTGAAGAAGTAAAACAAGCTGTTTTGGATTGAATGGGGACAGTGCGGGTGGTCCGAATGGTTTTAATGGCAATTTTTTCAAATCTTGTTGGGATATCATAAGTGAAGATGTGGTACAGATGGTTAAGGCATTTTTCAACGGGCAATAAATACCTAAGTTTATAACTCATTCTAACATAGTATTAATTCCAAAAAAGAAAGATGTTATCAGCTTTTCAGACATGAGACCAATTAGTTTGAATAACTTCATCAACAAGGTCTTCTTAAGGGTCATTCATGAAAGGTTAGTTGGATTTCTACCTAATCTTATCTCTGAGGAGCAAGCAAGATTTGTAAAAGGGAGAAGCATTGTAGAAAATGTGTCGCTTACTCAAGAAATTATAACTGATATAAGGCTCAGAACCAAGGCAGGACCCAATGTCGTTATTAAACTTGACATGACAAAAGCCTATGACAGATTATTTTGGCTCTTCTTAACGAAGGTTCTAAGGAAGATGGGTTTTGAGGAGAGATTTATTGGTGTGGTGTTTGGAATTATTTCTAATAATATTTACTCAGTGCTTATAAATGGGCAACCCCATGGTTTCTTCAAATCAACAAGAGGGGTGAAACAAGGAGATCCACTATCCCCGACCTTATTCATACTTGCAGCAGAAGCACTTTCAAGAGGATTAAATTCATTACATTGGAACTCTCAGTTTTATGGTTTTGGCTTACCTAAGTGGAGTCCCAAGATTAATCATTTGTCTTATGCCGACAATACAATCATCTTTGTATCATCCAATGATACTTCACTACAACTGATCATGGATATATTGACAGCTTATGAAGTAGCATCCGGACAGCTGATAAACAAAACCAAGTCTGCAATATACATGCACCATTTCACCAGTGATGTTGTGATCAGAAATGTGGAAGGGATTACAGGGATTGAAAGTCAAGATTTCCCACTCATTTATCTGTGATGCCCGATCTTCTACACTAGAACAAAGATGGATTTCTATGAAGGACTTATGAGCAAGGTTTTGGACAAACTACAATCCTGGAAAGGGAAATTGCTGTCCATCGGAGGATGGGCTGTTTTGATTGCTCATGTCTTGCAAAGCATACCCGTACATTTGTTATCAGCTGTCAACCCTCCAACATTTGTTCTAAACAAACTCCATAAACTTTTTGCAAAATTCTTTTAAAGCAACTCAGTAGATGGTAGGGCTAGGCATTGGGCTTCTTGGGATACACTTTGCTTGCCTAACGAAGAAGGAGGTGAAGATTCCGATCGCTACATGATACGGCCAAAGCACTATTCTGTAAACTATGGTGGAAGTTTAGGACTAAACCATCACTTTGGAGCTCATTCATGAGTCAAAAATACTGCAAGAAACTAAATGCCCTAGTTGTTCCTTGGAAGGATGGCTCATATATTTGGAGAAAAATGCTACAATGTAGGGATCTTGTGGAGCATTTGATTGAATGGAAACTAAAAATGGGATATGCCCTTTTTTGATTTGATAACTGGACTGGCCTAGGTGCTCTTTATTTTGTCACCCCAACAGATTTCTTTTGTGATGAAACGACTCAAAATGTCTACGATGTTGTGAATGGAGGAGGGTGGGATTATGTTAAACTGTACGATTTGCTTCCTGAAGAGTTTTCTAAACACATTCTGGACAACATTGCACCTCCCACTTCTTCTAATATCATGGATAAACCTATTTGGAACATGGAAACAAAAGGGACATTTTCTACTAAAACAGCTTGGGAATATCTAAGGAAAAGAAAAGGAACTACCATTACCTACAAGAACATGTGGGTAAAGGGACTATCTTTTAAGATTTCTTTCTTCATGTGGAAGGGCAGGCTACCTTTAGATGATGCAATAAAGAGAATGGGATACAGAATGGCATCGAAATGCTGGTGTTGTGTGAAGCCACGAGAGGAAACAGTAGCCTATGTGTTTTTTACATCTTACGCAGCAAAGAAGGTATGCACATATTTCTTCTCCTATGCAGGTTTATCCCTTGAGGGATTGAGCCTGCATCAGGCCATTGTTAGATGCTGGCCAGTCGATGTAATTCAACGCCTTAAACAAATTTTCCTTGCACTACCAAGTATCATTGTTTGGGAGTTATGGAAAAGAATAAATTGCAATAAGAATGACGAACCTGTCTCGATCAATAGGGTAGTGCATCAGATTTGTACTACAATTCAATCTCTGGTCAAGGTTAGAAAACCAGGCATTATCTTTGTCCCACACAGATGGCCAGATGTTCAAAATATGATGGAAACTATCTGCCAACACTGAAGTTCAATAAGGTGACTTATGAATTCCCTCTTGCTGGTTGGATTAAGATTAACACTGACGGGGCATCAAGGGGAAACCTAGGAAGGAGCTCGATAGGTTACTGCATCAGAAATGATAATGGGGATTTAGTATATGTAGTTGGGAAGGAGATGAAGGAAACTACTAATACACAAGCTGAAACAAGGGCTATTTTGGAGGCTTTGAGATACTGTACCATTCATCATACACACCAAATATGGCTTGAAACTGATTCAATGCTTCGGAAAAATACCATTGAAGGAAATTGGAAACCTCATTGGATCATAGAGGAGGAGGTGGAGGAAATAAACGAATTGTTAACAGGAGGTAATGGAAGAGTGTCACATATTTATAGGGAGGGCAATAAACTTGCTGATCACTTGGCAAACTATGCACTCGACATGGGAAATCTGGAATGCCACGAGTTTCACTAGCTGGATACACAAGGAAGAAGGTTAGTCAATGTAGACAAACTTCGATGTCCAAATTTGAGAATCAAAGTTATAAGATGTTAGAACTGATGAGCAAAGATTGTGTAAGGAATAAGGAAAGGAATGGTGACCAAATGCAAGGGATGCATCTGAATGATCTATGCAGTAGATATCATGATCAAATCCTAGGGGAAGAGCTCATGGTTATTTCTAACATTGTTTGTTCTTTTGCAGGAAATTTAACTATACCTGGGCTATATTTTCTGTTGATTCTCCAACAGAAGTTAACTGCACACTCCATATTACAACAGCAGATGGAAACACAAAGTAACAACTCAGAACATATAATGCAAAGAAGGTTCAGCAACAGCTCAGTCGTGCTACAAATGCTTCTCCATTTATTATGACTTCAAAGGGTGGTATTAGCACTAGGTGCTCATTCCCTTAAAGAAGAAAAGATGGCAAGCACAAAAAGGACAAGACACAACTGGAAAAATAATGCGGCAAAAATTCAGTTCGAGGGCGACATATACAGTTATTCTCTAATGGAAATCATAGGTCGTACAACATGGATAACATACAGCTGCCTATTAGCATCAGTGATACAGACACAATAGAACGAAAGAGGAGCTCAAAAAACTGGAATAAGGCTGAGGATGATTACTCGTTAGAAGCAAAAGGCATAGAGGCGTGGGTGCACACACCAAGGGATATGCTTCACAATGTAGATAGGCGCCTTGAGACAATAAAACTAGATCCCTTATGGACTATAGATACATTAAACAAATGCAAAATGTACTGGCCAATGCAATTCGATCGCATGATACTGTTTTTAACTTGGGACAGGCAAGACATTGAGCTATGCAATCATGATTTTTTGGAAATACAAACTCATGTATCAAAAGGACTAAAAGCATGTGAAGCATGGGTTCAAATACCAAACAATGAAGTTGAGAATGAAGACAAGCACATTGGGTTATTAATCTGGGGTCTCGTGTAGTATATATTAAATTCATGAACCATCTTTCCATGTTGCAAAACAAAACACACGAGAGGAGCACATGACAGATGTTGGGCAGCCATGTTCGAAGGAAATAGTCTCTTCAGCTTTCAATCATATGCAATCATAAGGGATCTATCACAAGTAAGTAAGTGCATTTTTTGGAACTCTTATTACAGCGGAGGATCAATAGGGAATATTCTAGCAAATACCATCAACTAATCTGGGCAGAGACAAGAATTCAAGTACAAGGCTTGGAAGTAATATTTTCGAAGTTGGACTCAAGAAATAATCTGATGCATGGGCTACAATACTATATCAATGCGTACATTAGTTCATATGTGATAACAATTTTGAGTCCACTACTCGCTATTGGTATTAGGTACTACGTAACAATCATAGGTTATTATTTCCATTTTGCAAGACCTCCTGAGATTGTACGCTTTGTATTTGGAAGACCTCCTGAGATTGTACCCTTTGTATTGTATGATTTTGATTTTGTTATATATAAAAATTAGCCCTGGGCGCTTGCCTAGCAGATTACCAAAAAAAATGGCGAGACAAATGGGAAAGACAATAAGAAGGAAGTTGTGACAACTAGTAACAAATTTGCCATACTGAAGGAAGTGGAGATGGAAATTCATAAAAATATCAAGAAGGAGGCAGTAGAAAAGGTGATAAATAAGGAACAACACAAGGTGAATGAGGAGAATTCTAAGTATCATGGGAAATATTCTGCACGTAAAGAACAACATAATATAAAGGAGGTGAATAATAATGCCAGTGGGAGAACAAATGAACAAGGGAAGTTAACTCAAATTGAAGACAAATCCAGTCCTAAGCCTAGCTTAACTGCGAACATGAAAGAGGACACTATTGACTTGGTAAACAGAACATTTGGCACCAATAAAGAAGAATTGAGGCACATGAATGTTACGTTTAATCATTCATGCCATGAACTTTCATCACAAACTAATGAAGATTCAAAGGATATAGGGTGCAATGAGGAGATTAGTTCGGGCAAAAAATTATGGAGTGATAAAGTAGAACTCATGGACAACATTGATAATGCAAGGTTGAATGTCGAAAACAAAGGAGAATGCCAACACAAAGATGAAGAGCTGCTAGTAAATATAGATCAATTGAAGAACAAAGAATCAGTTGAGGAAATCACTAATGAAACAGGAAATCTTAGGAGTGGAGAACAAGTTCCAGCTATAATTGAAAGAGATCAGATGGCTGATTCAGTTGGTGTTCAATATGAGAATGTTCAGGAGAAAGG